AGAAGCCCTGGGGTACTTCTAAAAACTTTAGATTTCTGGTTCATCCATGTTGTTACAAATGACAAGATTTCCTTCTTTTTTAAGGCTGAATAATATTCCATTGTATATATACTACATTTTCTTTATCCATTCATCTGTCCATGAAGAGATACTGTTTCCATATCTAAGCTACTATGAATAATGCTGCAATGAACATGGGAGTAGAGATATCTCTTTGAGATAATGATTTCATTTCCTATGGATATATACCCAGAAGAGGGATTGCTGGATCATATGGTAGATCTATTTTTAATTTTTTGAGAAATCTCCATATTGTTTTCTGTAGTGGTTGAGCCAATTTATATATCCCTACAAACACTATATGAGGGCTCTCTTTTCTCCACATCCTTACCAATACTTATCTCTTATCTTTTTGATAAGAGCCATTCTAACACATGTAAGATGATAATTCATTATGTTTTGGTTTGTATTTCCCTAATGACTAATGATGTTGAGCTCCCTTTCATATACCTGAAATAAAAATCCTAACTAGATGAGGTGGTGAATAAGATGTTAATTAGCTTAACTGTGGTTATCATTTCACAATGTCTACACACATCAAAACATTCTGTTGTACACCTTAAATCTATACAATTTTTATTTGTCAGTTATACCTCAATTAAGTTGAAAAAAATTTGTATTTCTGGACCATACCTCAGATGTACCAAATCAAATTCCTAGAGGCAAGGCATAACAGCTTACTCTTTAGGCCAGCTCCCCAGGTGATTCCCCTGCACACCACAGTTTCAGAAATACTGTAAGATACTTCTCTGAGGTCTCTTCAAACACAAATTTTATATAACTCAGTCATCATTCTAGAACGATGAAATAGACATCTTCTAGTTTCAACCTGACCCTGTAATTCCCGAAAAATCCCTCTTTTCTTTTCCTCTTCTAACCCTGTTCTAACTTGTGTGTTTGATTAAATTACAATTCTCAGCATGAATTAATATGTGGCTGCTAGAAAGTTTCAAACTGGAGATTTTATTGGCTATCACAATAGTCTACTGGGAAAGAATCTACTAAGTAAATCCTTGAGCAAGATGTTTTTGAATTTTTTTAAAAAGGTATCTGTTGGATGAAATATGGTGGAGAAAATACTCTCTTCTAAAATAATCTCTCCAAATAGCCTTTACCTTTTTAGCTACAAGGTGAATCAGAGGCAATATAGCTATGTACAGATATTCAGTAAAAGAGCAAGGTTAAGCCAAATCCTGCTGTCACCAAGAATATTTGTACTATACATAAAATGTTTTCAACAGGAAGACTGAGACATTTTTGACTTGGCTTATGAAAGGAATATAGCTCTTTTCGCTAAAGGAACACAGAGAAAGTCTATCTTCAGAAACACTTCTTTATAGTTACTTTTTCCCCATGTTTATGAAAAGTTACTCATATCTTTAAAGAGTAAAATTCACTACCTGGTATCGATTGTACAAAGATTAAGAAGCTTTCCATCTTTGTTTCTAACCTGGAGTTTCTAAGCTGTAAAATAAATACCATAGGTGTTGTGATATAAGGGAATAATCCCTTCTCCTAAAAGACTCTCAGGCTCCTAAAATATGTCTGTAGCTATTCTATTACTTGAGACCTCAGAATCTTTTAGTAGGGAACATGGTATTTTATTCTACATTCTTTCATCCCTGGGAGAGGGAACACAGTGAGTTTCATTTGCACTAATATGGAAATAACTGGAAAAAAATATGGAAACAATGTTGGGTTTCCTTGAGGAGGGGAAGGAGCAGTGAGATGAGAAACACCAAGCACTGAGTGGTGTCCCATTGGCCCAAGGATTGGAGGTAGATGCCAGAGGTAAAAGGTGAAGAGAGACTTTTTTTTTTCCCTTTACAAGTAGCCCCTTCTTGCCTGTTTATCACACCAGATCAAGGATTATTTGCTTTCTTGTTGCTCCTAAAGCCCACATGAGAAAAATAAATCCACTTCCCTCCCCCACTCAATGTAACAGAAAATACGCACACACCAAGAAAGGAAACTGCTCAGGTGAGAGTATTATGCTGATTGAGACAAGTTTATTGAGAATTCAACACACACATCCACAACTTTATCAAGAGTCGTGAGCATGGTGAAAAATTCAGAAGAAATACATGTTTGGGCATCAAGTTTCTGAAAGTGTCTCAAAGAACATCATCCAGGGAAGGCTGCTGGAGGCGTCATCTGGTTTTTCATTTTCTTCCCTCTGGACTCTGGCGCTAGGTCTGAGACGCAGCAACTGGGAGGTGAAGGAGCAAAGGAGGACTGAGGAAGGAAGTAATGGAGGGACGTGGAGGGGCGCCTCTCAGCCTTGGGAGAGAAGATTCTGCGCCTCAGCAATTTCAGCAAATCAGTAGAGATCAAATGGCCAGTATCTTCTGTAGCCGAAGGTCCTACAGCCACTGTAGCCATAACCAAAGCCGTAGCCCACTGGGGAGAAGGTGCTGCCGTAGCCAGAGCCCACGCTGTACCCCAGGGGGTAGCCATAGCTGCCCCAGTAGCATCCTGGGAAGACGGCGCCAGAGAAGGTGTCGCGGTACATGGTGTCAGGAGTGGAAGGCTCAGGAAGCAGGGGAATGTGTCTCCTCTGTGTGATGAGTCCTCCGTCTCGGAACCTTCTTTATATACCCTGGCTGTGGGGCGTGGTTAAAAACACAAGGGCCTCATCTTCATTCTTGACACCATTTTTCATTCTTGAGACCACAGAAAGCTCGTTAATTTGATTTGCTCTTGTGTTAGATGTCTTTACAGCCGATTAAGGAAGCTCTCACATCATAGAATACAAGGATAGGATCCCTTCTTCAAACAAAGTGTGTCCCTCACTAAAAATGTATTGCAGTGACTTCAAAGCCCGGGCTCCTATAGACCCTAGATGTAATTCTTTGTAAGCAGGCTTTATAAAACCAAGAAATGTTCTGAGGTTGTTAACTCTTATTCAGTCCTCTTGCTCACTGAATTTCCACAACACACGGGGTAGAATTCAATAAATACGTGTTGGAATAAATTAATAAATGAAGTAATAATACATAGTGAGTCCAACTAAAACGAGGTATTTCTTAGTATTCACTTGGTTAAAGAATTCTCTTTTTGGTAGTGTGCAAGACAAAGGCCATAGGGCTCATAGAAAAGCCTCCTTTTTAATTTTTTCTCTATGTATAGCTACTCTGTCTTAAAAACTGGTTAAAAATTTAATCTTAATTATAATCCCCACCTGAACTGTATCTAACATCACATTTTGAGACCACTGCCTGAACTAATAATCTTATAATTGTAAAAAAAAAAAAAAAAAAAAAAAAATGGAGTTTTTTAAATTTCTTAAAAGATGTATTTATTTTAGAGAGAGAGAAAAAGAGAGAGCTCACAAGTGAGCTGGGGGAGGGACAGAGGGAGAGAGAGAATCCTGAAGCAGAGTTCATGCTAAGCTGGGAGTGCAGAGCCCAATGTGGAAATTAATGTGGGGCTTGATCTCAGGACCCTGAGATCATGACCTGAGCCAAAACCAAGAGCCAGCCACTTAACCAACTATCCACCCAAGCACCCCTTGAAATGAATGGTTAAATAAATATGATTTATTTTTAAAATAAATATTGAAAATAATAATGAAGTAAAAAACAGAAAAATGAATGGCAAATTTTATCCTGAAATGTGTATTTTTTTTTTGCTGGATCTAATAAAAAGCAGATTATCTGACAAATATGACAATCTTGTGAAGGGCATATTAAGTCAACATTTCCTCCCAGGAGCAGGAAGGAAAGTCATTCCTCTCTAAATAGAAATTTAGTTCTCAAGTAGGAGTGAAAGAAGGGACAAGATTGATCAAAACTACTTTGGGTCATGAAACACCTAATAAACTATTCCAGATATTTGCATTGAGATTGCCCATAATGGCACTTGGTAGAAAACTTACAGAATATACAGCAGAAGAGGACACACAGCACAGAAACAGAAAGGCACAGAGCTATAACAAATCATTTTTAGAAGACCATGGAAAGAATATGTATTACATACTGGACCCCAAAATTTTATTGTAGATCCCAGAGGTAGCTTTCCTCCCTGTCACCAGCAACAAAGACCTAAATTTCTAGGAGTACAAAGAAGTCACAGGTTGAATCCAAAGGCAAGGTGCGACACCTGGAAAAATACAAAACTGTGCCAGCATTTTAACCACTAATTGATTAATTACAGGAGAGGTATTTTTGAAAATACATGGTGCTGCACTACCATCTTTCTTCAAGAACAAAATACCATGACCACCTAGGGTGATTCAGCAGTTAAAATTCAAACACTTCATGTGACTTACAGCTAAATAAGTTCAGGGAATTAAAATTAGCTTTGCTCCCAAAATATAAAGGTATTCAAGAGCAGGTCCTTCCCTGAAAGTCACAGAATGATTTACACTATCTTTCTACTCTCATCATATTGCTCTACTCCATAAAGAAAACCAAAAAAAAAAGAAAAGAAAAAGAAAGAAGGAAAGAAATGATAACCTTAGAGAAAAAGAAAAATGAAACAAAATAGCATTATACAATGGGATGGAAGAAAAGATTTGCCAAAGTTCAATTATGATGCTCTGTTGAAATAAATTCTCCCCTCACCTGCTTACCCAATCTGGCAAGATACTAGCTATGCCCTCCCAGGCACAATACCGAGCTCTGTATCTGAGTAGTAATGATGAATAAAAATTAAAATATGCCATCTTTTAAAAACTTAGGACCCTGAGGTGCCTGGGTGGCAGTCAGGTCCTGGGATCCAGCCCTGCTCAGCAGGGAGTCTGCTTCTTCCTCTCTCTCTGCCACTCCCTACTTCTTGTGTGCTCACTTTCTCTAGTCTCTCTCTCTCAAATACATAAATAAAATATTTTTAAAATTAAAAAAAAATAAAAACTTAGGCCCCATTTATAGCAAATATCCTGAATTTTCTCTAGAAAGTCTACAAAAAAGTCTTAACACAAGAAAGTTTTAGGGAGACACATTATCAGCAAGTCATTTAAAAACATAACTAATTTGGTATAGATTAAAATTGCTGTGATCTGAAGAGGGAGGATTTATTTGTGTCCTCCTCCTCTATGAAGTGGCTGAACAGGAAATAAAATAAAATAAAATAAAAATGAAAAATAACAAAACTAATAGCTAGCTCAATCCTGCATTGGTTCTATGAAAACTATATTCTGACATACGTATATCTAGGGAAGATCTAGGTTTTGTAAAGCATGCAGTTTATACAATGTTGAGAACCCTCTTTATGATAAAGAACATAACAAAAATATAAAATTTAGTACAAAATTAAACATTTGTTAAATGCTAAAAGAAATCACAAAAATTAAACACTAACAAAAATCATAAATATTACAAAATTCCAAAAGGAGTATTTTTACTACTTAACTGCTTGCCATATTTCTATAATATTTTTTCCATAGACTAGCTTCTGACTCTATCATTTCAAACTGTTTTCTCTACTACTCATCCTGTGCTGAATGCCATGGAGCAAATTCATACTGACATATGACCTCTGGTCCTACATCTTCAAGTCAAAAACTTTGGGTTAATTGGGGGAGTGGATGGTAAAGAATTCCTGGAAGCCATTCCCACACAAGGATGTCTCAAAATAGCCTAATGAGACTCAGAAGTGACTGCAAACCACATGAATCTATCCCCCCATATCCAAATTAAATGTATCTCCTAGTCAATTTCTCTTTAAGCCAAATGCCAAAAAGACCCATGGCCCTCCAGAGCCTCCCAACAGAAGGGGAAGTGTGGTGTAGGGAACCCCTCAGTAGAAAGCAATAGCTGTCTAAACCAGTTGCAGTAAAAATGTCTAGCTTTTGTGAGTTTCTGAAAAAAAACAAGGTCATGTGACATGGAGTTTTGATAAAAAGAAAAATATTATATTGTCACATTAAAAATGACTCAGTATTAGACTAATCATTACTGGGGTGCCTGGGTGGCTCAGTCGTTAAGCATCTGCCTTCGACTCAGGTCATGATCCCAGGGTCCTGGGATCGAGCCCTGCATCGGGCTCCCTGCTCAGCGGGAAGCCTGCTTCTCCTTCTCCCACTCCCCCTGCTTG